GCTACATTTCCCTTTCCACCAACAATAACTTTGCCATTCGTCGCACCCGATTTCCATTCCATTATGCGATGATTCGATTCTTCAGCAACATAAACTGTTTCCTCATCATCAACATACAAACCCCAAGGGCAATTGAGTTGATTGATGCCATTGCCTTCTTCATTTCCTCCAGCTACAGTAACACCAATTTGCTTCCATTTTGCATTTGGATGAATGTCAATTGAGCTTGAGCGTAGTGGTGCTAAAATGAATCCAAAATTATTATAAGAACGAAAAACTCATTTCGAGGAAATCGGCATTTCTTTTCTCTTCATAACAAAAAACGAAATTTGATTACGTAGCTCATTTGTGACTAAACTATCTAACATTTTTTATTGATACTATTAAATACTTGACAGGTGAAATTCCAAATTGAATAACAATAGAATTCAGTCACCGAAATTATTTAGTTTTTTTTTCCTATTTTGACTGTTGACGATATTTAAAACAAATAAAAGACGTAAGAGATAAAAATAAAAGCGAAGCATGTCAGTGTCCTATTGGTTATACAGTAATGAATAAGTTACTGCGTTGCTTTTATTTCGTATTTCTCGAAAGAATTGGCTTTGTGATTGGTTTGTTTAAAAAATCTCTGTTGATGCGACATTTAATATAAGAACATCTGAAATTACCAAGAGGAACAAAGCAGACTTCTGTACTTCTGACGTACCATGAAGTATCCTGAAGTATATGAAGTACTGTGGAGTACATAAATTTTTATAGTAAGATAAGATGAGACAGTTTCTGTTGGCTGAATGTACTTCTTCAACAGCAAAAAAAACAAAACCATAAGACAACAAGTGGCATCTAGGTTAATTTTTTATATTTTATTTCCATAATAGATCATTTAAATTCTTATCGTATATGTTGTTTTCAATTTGTTGATGTTGCTATCATGAAATGACGATGATTTTTTTAATGAATATTAACATTTCTTACTGTTTTATGTTCAGCATTAATCCTTTTTTTTATCTATAATTGTGACTAGTATTAATTTTCTACTATTGTGTTATATGTCGTTGTTATGAGAAAGTGAAAAGCCTTAATTTTCTTTCTCTCTTTGAAAATATTAGTGCATAAGAAAAAGCTTAACAAGAGGATTGGTACTCTGTTTTTTTAACTGTAAATTCTACTTTTGTTGTTTGTTTATCTGTTGTAAATCGAAAAGCAAGTGTTGTAAAGAGAAGCTGTCTATAGTTTTCTTTCATTTCTGAAAACAAAACCACTTCACATATACATGTCAAGAAATAGGAAGGGCTATGGCGAAGTACAACGAAGTATACGAGTATAGAAATCTGCTTTTTCTCTCTTGGAAATTTTCCAATGAAATACTATCTATGGTGTTATGGTGTTTAATGCAGTGGTAGATCCAGAGGAAGAATATTAGATAGAATTGTCTGTTCTTTCAGAAGTTTTTGGATGCGACACCAGATTCATACTATAAAACATTTTTCACCGTTACCTTTTATAAGAGAAGAAAATAAGCTTGTTTCTAGTCTTCGTAAAAAGTTTTGTAGAAAAACTCAGTTCTTCTTCAATACATTTAATATAAGAGTCTTGTCTGCAAAGCAAGACTTTGAATATCAGGCTAGAACCTGGTAGACAGTCATCCAAGATGCTTTCATCTGAAAAGACTTTTGCATTTCTTGAAAGTTAGATCCAATTCTTTTTTATCTCGAAATAGAGCAATATCTTCGACAATCTAAACGACCTTTATTATCATGTGTTGTATCATCAAAAAATGGATCAC